CATTATGCTAAGTGAAATAAGGCAGCGGGTGAAAGGCAAGTACTACATGATCTCACCTGTAAGTGGGACTTCTAATAAATGAACAAACAAGAAATATATAACCAACAACACTGAAATAAAAAACCAACTGACAATAATGAGGGGAGGAGGGAGGCTCCAACAGGGAAAAAGAGGGGAAGGGTCAAATCAAGGAACATGTATAAAGACCATGGACAAAGCCAAAGTGGGGAAGGATTGAGAGTGGGAGGTTGGAGTAGGTGGAGCAGGGGAAAGTGGTTTTGGGAAAAAAAAAACAAATGTATTAGAACAATAAAAAAATTTTTAAAAATTTTAAAATCATTCATTTATAGAGATGAGAGTGAAAAAACTACTAGTAACAAAAGGTTAGCCCCTGAATGTTTTTTTCTTTGGCAAAACAGCTAATAAATTATTAAACTGAGTGGCTAGAGTGTGTTTAGAATTATAAAAATTTGCATTAAAAGAATATGCGCAAACTGAAGTCTTAAGTTATGACCAAGTATTACAAAGCTTTTGAGAGTGGAGCATCCTGATACTATCTTTCCAACTATTCTACAATAATATATAACTTAGGTAACAGAGTATATTATAATAAAGCAACCTAATACATATAACATATACATGATTCATAAAATATAACATCAATATATTACTCTAGAAATTTATAATTAATGTATTGTCATTTTTGTCCCCTCCTCAAAGAGATTTGTATTCATTATTTAGCTAAATAGAGGAATTACAACCTCAAAATTTTTTCATGGAATAAGCTAAACCTTTGTAAAGGTGCATGTGTCCCCATTTTAGCATGTTGTTTGACTTCACAAACATCAATAATAGCTCAATTTTGAAATATTTTGGTGTATATGTCACATCATTAAATGTTTATTCATATGAAAAGGGTGTATGAGTCTTTGGGGTACCATATTTACACAAAGCCATGTAAAAGAGAGAACATACTGTTATACTGAACATTGATGGAAAGTGCATTGTACTCCAGTGTGACAGAGAGGTAGCCTGGGCAACTGTTTTTTAAGTGGCAAACTGATGGACACACTAAGTACTATTGCTAATATAAACTCTTGGTTCTGTGTTGTCAGATATTGTTCTAATGGCTTCATATGGATTTTCTCATTCTATACTTAGGACCATATTATGATGTAGATTATCCTCATTTTGTAGATGAGAAAGCTGAGGCATGTACTGGGTGAGCAATGTATTCAGGAAACTCAAGAGTCATGACTTAACTGGGATCCAAATACAGTTCTTCTGTATTTACCCTTCACCATTATGTATGCCATACTAACATCGCTCAATGCATGCGCGCGCGCTCTCTCTCTCTCTCTCTCTCTCTCTCTCTCTCTCTCTCTCGCGCGCACACACACACACACACACACAGTGTGTACTCTGTGTGGCTAAATGTTTGTATATTTTTATTTTCTGTCTCAAGTGTTTTTCCTTTGGCACAAACTCTGTTGCAGTTTTCAGTGAATTGCTTTGGGACTCTTTATTTTTTACTCCCATCTTCTTTATCCTGGAAGACTTCTTATGGAGGACATTTAAAACTGTTAATCTTTCGATTAAAAAAACAAACAAACAACAATCCGTAGCTGCAACTTATTTAGGGATGCACCGATTTATCTCCTTAAAGATTCTCACAGAAACAGAAAACACATGCAAACATGATTTTATTTTTCTGAGGACTTTTATTTATAGATTCTATTACATTGTGTAAGTCTCAAATATAATGGCAGTATAATAGATGACAAATTCAAACTGAAGTATGAGCATACATAGATGTATAAAATTTGTAAAGACTTCTATGTAAATAGTATTCTTATATTCATGGCTATCGATATATATATATATATATTTGCTATCGATATATTTTTGTGAAGCAATTCTTGTTTTCTTCAACATAATGTAATAAACCACTGATATTTTAAAAATGTGGTGGTCTCTATACATACGTCCTAAACCTAGGCCAATGACTTGACCATTCTAACTAACATAGCTGGCCCTCATTTCATTACTTTCATTAACATTTCTCCAAAATGTCTATTTAGAACTGCTTTATTTACATATGCATTTTGTCTTAACTCTTTTTAATAAACCTATCAAAATTCTATAAAATCATGCTAAACATTTTGAGTTGAGATTTAACAATCAGCATTTTAGAATTGGCTGACAAGTCACTTATATCTTTTGCAAATGATGGAACAATCCAAAAGGTAAAATGAAATTCTCCCATGTTTATTCAAATTATATGTATACATTTTTGTTCAAATCTGTTTGCTTACATTTTATTCAAACTTAAAATTTACAGTGTAACTGCCATTCTCCATCATTAGGTGAAATGAGTTCAGTGATTATGTAATTTAAGTGTTAGTATGACAATGCCTTCTGGAGGGTGATAGCTCACAACCAGTACAAAAGAGTAATGTAACTAATTTTTCTTCAAGCTCACACTGTACTAAATGAGCTCTGATCCAAATATTGCTCTTAGTTGCTAAAAAGTCAAAACTAGACATTCTTGGGAAAACATGTATATGTACAAAACCTAAATATGTTATATATTTTTTAAAATTATAGTTCATCATGAAACAGGGGAAACAACAACTTCATATTTTTTGAAGTGTTAAGAAGGAACTGTGATGAGGAATCAGTTGACAATATTTTTATTTCACATAGAAATTAGGAAATGTATAAACATTAATAGTAAATCACACATAAGTCTGCCCACCATATATTTTTTCACATTATCGTCTGTAAATATGCAAAATGCAGTTATATTTATATATGTTTAAAATAACCAGGATAAACAATTCAAATTAAAGGTGATATTAATTTCTTAATTTTATGTATTAAAAAACCTTACAAATGTAATATATTTTGTATGGTTCCCTAATTAAATTGTCCAATGTATTTTTCAACCGACTTAGCAAGTATGAGATGAAATGCTTTACAGAGTCTAGGAAAACACTGCATGGTATCTTTTATATTACATTGAAAAGTGGCTCAAATAACCAAAGATTAATGATTGAACATAGTTGTAAAGAATCTTTGGCCCTAGATTTAATTTTATATGTACCTTACGACAAATGTCTACAAGTGAAAATCTCTTTCATTGATGTTATAAAATACATCACAATTTAAAAATTTTCTAGATAGGAAGTTCTGTGGAAATCTCTCTTTGTTTTTGTTGACATTCTCACCTGTGTTTCTTAGTCACTCCTACTTTCTATTTCTCATTCTCTACCCATACCTCTTCATCTCTATAGGTATGTTTAAATCTCCTTTATTTTTAACTAGCCAGAACAACAAAAAATGTGTTCAAGTATTTATTATAGAAATACAATTCATGTTACTTTTTAATTTAAAAAAGCAAATGAATGACCTATCTTCTAGATGTTTGCTTTGAAAACTCCCACATCTAAATGAAGCTACTTTCTCCTTACCTAACTCAATTTTTGCCTGCACATGTATAACTTGATAGGAGGAGGACCTCATATTCCTGAAATAAACTGATGAAAAACTGTGCCATGGCCATTCTTTTCAAGCCACTATTAATAAGAATTACTTAAAAACTAGACTTAAAATCCTTGGTAGGATGACACCAGCTATAGCAAAATGAGTATATGCTTCATTAACTATAAGCTCAGGACAGGATACTTTATTGATTGATGAATAATATGGCTTCATAGCCATGAAATTTAAGTAGAAAGTGCCATCCTCCTCATTTTTAGATGAAAAAATAGCAGTCTAAAAGACTGCTTGTACAAATTAGTGAAGTAAATTAAGTGGCAAGAAAGCAAGTTGGCAAGAATCTCAGTGGAATGCTTTTTCATTTATTCCAAAGACAAGTCTGAGTTGAAAGTCTGTCATATATTATGACTTGAAACTTTGCCATACATTTAGGATGGTGTACAGGTGATACAGTAAATACTGTGCCCATGTCATCATCTATTCAGACGTGTACAATGGTATCAAACAGCTACCTGCATATCAGAAAGTACTTCATTGAAGGGAAATATTTTGCTTAGTGCTAAAGGATGACTAGACAATACTGCATGAGAAAGCAGCAAAATGTGACAAAAGAAATTAAAAGGTAGTATTTTGGGGCAGCAGAGTCTAGTGCCATTTTATATAAATAATAGTAAATAAAGCTTTCATCAGTTGTTTCTTTTTAATTTATCTTCTTTCTTTTGAGGGGTGTGATACTTATGTGGAATAATTTTTCATGTTCTGTGGTTATATGAACTAAGAAGGATATAAAAAGACAGGCTATAAAGCACAATACTCTAAAGGTAAATCTTAATTCTGGTTGTTACACGAGTCAAGATAAATGAAAACTATTTGTTGAAATGAATAGCCTACATATGCTTTTAATTCCATAGCTTTTTATAGGCACATATAAATTAATTGTGATTACAATATAGAATAAATTTAAGCACCTCAAAATATGGAATGACCTCTGTTCATGGATGTAAGAGTTTTGATCACTAACTCCAAAATGTTTTAACTAAACATTCATTACTAATGTCCATTCCTTCTATCAGGGCATTTCATGGCAAAGCCACGGCAAAACACTTTTGTAGATATCCATATGATAGATATATGTATGTGTTTTTGTATTTGCATGGGAGACATGAATGTTTGCAATCCTGTGAAAAGACCAAGGTAAATGTGAACATTTTCTACATGGTCTTGTGATTTATTAAAAGCAAATGAAATTAAATTACCTTTGTTTGCTGTAATCATAATCCCTATAGAGTTATTCTTACAATTCTTACAGAATCATTTACCAGTGCAAAAATAGCCATCTGCTAATGCTGCCCACTTGTCTTAGGGAATCAGAGCTTGAGACTGCACTGAATTTGAGAATATTTTGATAAAACATGTTGGCATAGACCTCCTTAAAAAAGTCTTATTAACACAAATACATCACCCTCACAGGCTGTAAACAGTGTAGTAAATATGAAGCTCTATATTTTGCTTTCCTTGCCATCCTTTCCTTTGTCTTCCTTTTCTGTTTTGTCTTTTTCATATTTCTCTTTGTCTGGTTTTGTTACACTATCATATGAAGGTGGAAAGGTGGTTGAGGAGGTTGCATCTGTTTTTTCTGGACTTGAGTTCTCATTAACGTTATCCAAAACCATATCCTCTTTATGGGGCAAATCATCATCTCTGTCTCCATCTTTTATGTATATACTTGATATATTTTTGACATTTTGCCTTAAGCGGTGACGTCTGTAAGCACGCTGAATAACAGTAGCAGACACATCCTCTTGTTTTCGTTTTAGTGTAGTTGTGATAGGTTCATAGGATGCTTTAGAAGGATTTGCTGACATGAACCTTTCTTCCATCTGTGTACGAAGAGAGTCCATCTCTCCGCCTTCACCCAAAACACGTTTTGTAAAAGCAAATAAGATGTCAAGACAATGGATCCGGTCACCATTGACCATGGGCAGATCCATGGCAATGAGCTGGACTTTGTTTGGTTTTGCTAAGAGAAGAGGAGGATCCAGGGCAGCTGCAAAATCAGAGAGTTTTCTATATTCTATAAACTGGGTGGCATCGGGATCAAACTTCTCCCAAACCTTGTAGAACATCTCAAAGTCGTCCTCACTCAGGGGTTCAGTACTTTCCTCAGTAGCAACGCTGAAGTTCTCCAGGATGACAGCGATGTACATATTCACCACAACCAGAAAGGATATGATGATGTAACTGACAAAATAGAAAATCCCAACAGAGGGGCTCCCACAGTCCCCTTTAACTGAGCTTCCAGGGTGATCTTTTTCAGGGTCACAGTCAGGAGGTCCGCTATTAAGAATAGGTGCTAGCAACCCGTCCCAGCCAGCAGAGGTGGTAATCTGGAACAGGCAGATCATGCTGTTGCCAAAAGTTTCAAAGTTGAACATGTCGTCAATTCCAGCTTCCTTTTTAACGTAGGCAAAGTTGGACATTCCAAAGATGGCGTAGATGAACATGACCAGGAAGAGCAGGAGGCCGATGTTAAACAACGCAGGAAGGGACATCATCAGGGCAAAGAGCAGCGTGCGGATCCCCTTGGCCCCTTTGATCAGCCGTAGGATTCGGCCAATCCTGGCAAGACGGATCACTCGGAACAGGGTCGGGGACACGAAATATTTTTCTATCAGCTCAGTCAGAAACATACCTGGTAAGGAAGGAAGGGATAAATAGGCAGTAATTAAACGTCCATGCTACAGAAAGTCTCGACTCTAAATAGTGTTATCTGCCAGCTTATCTCTTATGATTTCGGGACTGTCATTTTATTGAAAGATTTCATAACAACCAAAGGAAAATGATTAGATTTACAATTGTGACATTCTCCCTCCTTCACTAAGTTTGTGGACATTGATATTCTCCCTCCACAATAATTTTCTTAATTGTAAGATTAATACCTACTCACAGAGAAAATTCAAGAAATACAACTTTAGCAATAAAATGCTAAAAAGGAAATATAAATTTTCTGAAGTAACACTAATCATAACTATTGTTAATGTTTTGTTGAGTAATATTTCAGACGGTTTTCTATGCAGGCACACACATACACACACACATGAATGTAATCATGTTACGCAGGCACTTTTTGTAATCTGTTTTAGTCACTTTGGGTAATAAAAATATTTCCATACAAATGACAACTAACTAACTTCTTATGGTTGTATTCTGTCAAAATAAACACATGGTGAAGAATTTTATATTAGTTCCAATTTCTGATCTCCACAATTTCTTCCTGTCTAAAATTTATAATTCTAAAATAAATGCAATCCTAAAATTCTGGGCAAGGAATGTACAGATAATTTAAAAAATACACAAATGGATACAACCGCTATGGTAATGAAAAGGGAACAAAGTATAAAATCATGTACTGTGATTCATTGACATGACTGAGGTTGGTTGAGAAATGATTATATTTTATAGACTTCCTAAGTAAATAGCCACAAGAAATAAAGATGGCATTTCTTGAGACTCTAAGTTTACTTTGAATTCAGGAAGAATTTTCATGAAGTGTCACCAATATTCTGGCTATAATATTACCCTTAATGAAAGGGCAGTGCTTGTACGTGCTAAAACTGGAAGTGACTTCAGATTCTGCATCGGTCTTCTAAGACATACCTATATCTGACACAGTTGCTACCATTGTGAAGGGTAATCTTGGAAATCAAATACTGGATCAAGTGGTATCATGTGCTTCCAACAAATAGAAAACTTGAGACTTTGAGGCCTGTATTGCGAACCAAGGAATTCTGACACAGTTATTTTTTTGGTATAGTTTTGTTTTTAATGTTCCTTCATTCTTTCATTTTATTAACTTACTCGAAAGTAAATTTATATTCAAGTTCTCTGAGCATGTGTAGAGTTTAGTGTCATTCAAAATGAAAATGTGATCAATAAATGGTCTTACCAACAATGGAGATAATCACGATCACAAAATCAAAAATGTTCCATCCTACGGTGAAGTAGTAGTGTCTGAGAGAGATCAGTTTCAGCACACATTCTCCAGTGAAAAGGATAATAAAACCCACATTTATCCAATATAAGACAGTAGTCATGTATTTACTTTGATTCTCATTTTCTACCATCATGGTTATCATGTTGAGGCAGATAAGAACCATAATGGTGATATCAAAAGCTTGGTTTGTTACTAGGTCAAATATACATCCTTGGAATTTGTTCTGCAAATAAACAACAATAGTATGGAATGTATAGTAAACTTAGCAAGTAGTGTCCACCAATCATTGTATTAGTAAAAAAAATTGTTTAAAAATTTTTTTAAAGGTACCTGACTTGAAAACATGCATAAACTATCCCTAGTTTGTGCTTTCTATAGGGAATATAATTATAAATCAGAGTAAATGAAGTCTTTTGTTGTTATCTTTCAGTTCATCAGTTCAGTATTCAGTTAAACTTGTATACGGACATTGACTTTAAAGTTTATCCACCATAGTATGTTATATTTAATCAAAACTACAATTATTTTGCTATTCTATAGGCCACTGTAGCAGTAAGTTGTGTAGCTAATATAAAAGCAAAGGCATGTGTAATTATTTTTTATTTTTATAGAAGAATAAAAAAATAAGAAGGAATATTAAGAACTGATACATTGTTAAAATACATATATTAAGTTTTATAAGGGCTTTTGTTAAAAATATTAGACATTTTTCAAAAATTTTTCAAAGTTAATTCAAAATATTCATGTTTAAGAAATAGTTATATATTAAAGGTGAATTAAAAATAATTTGAAAATTTACATGCTAAAGATCTATATTTATACATATTAACATATATTTATATATTATTTTACCCCTGGCCGAGGTATTGGCTTTTGTGGTTTCTTAGATCCCAGCTTTTTCATTGCATTATAATATTTCTTCTGTTCTTCTGTCATAAAGATGTCTTGACCTCCAAGGTAAAAAAAATAAAGAAATCTAGTTAAAACCAGAATCATTGTCTAGATCTCTCCTCAGATAATTAAGGTAGGTTGATAATGTACTCATAGAGAAATGAATGCACTTTATTATATGCAAAGTAGCTATACATAAAATCTGTTTGAAGGAGTACCTATGTGTAGGCACATGACTCCTTAACATAATGTGTATATATAAAGTATATGTATTGCATATAATAATTATTGGTTCAATTTCTTTTGGTGAGGTAACCTGTGTTATATTAAATTATGTGCTGGTATCTCATTGCATCTGCTACTTGTTACCATGCATGTTATGGCTAAATAATGAACATATTAGAAAGTTATAAGAAATAAAATTATTGAATATATTTTTATTGATTTGGATAATATTTTGGACTTTTATGAAGAGTACAGGCCAAAAAGAGTAGTAAAAATAGTATTAGATTTATATTCATTTTAAAATGCTACATTCCTTTAGCAGAGAAAAATATACAATAAATACATAACACGTGTGTGTGTATATATTTCAAGAAACTTTTTATCTATCTCTTTAATTCCACATAAAGGAATTTCAAAATAAACAATTTTGGGAGTGTCAACATTATGCATAATAGAGTTCTATGTATTGGGGAAATTACTATTAGTCCACAGTCCCTGACCTAAAGGACTTCCAAATTGAATCCATAACCTTTATAATTCAACAGTAAAAACAAACAAACAATACAAAAACCCTGTGACAGCTATATAAAATTTTTGATCCTTTCTATACTGTAAAAGCCGAAATGTCATAAAGTGGGCCCAGAAGCTCTGCATGTTTTTTAGGGCCTATTTCTTAAAATTATTTGTGATTTTTACAGATTCAGGCATGTTCTACATTGATCTGTAATACCAGCTTTTTAGTTATGGAATAAATTAGTGTAATCCATATAATTAGGAACTTATTTAGGGGAATTTTGTTCTGATATCCTTACTTGGAGTTCAAGATGATCTGGTTATTGCTTCTCTTTAGTTTTCCTGGGCTAGGTAATACTCAGTTTCCTATTATTTTGTATTTTTAAAAATTTATTAAATGCCCATAATAACCAGACTCCCCTTTCTGTCTAAGAGTGTTTTAATTCACTTTTGCTCTATTTGATATGTGGTCTTTATGTAATTTTTGTATTTATTTGATCTATTGATAGTAGGCAGGAGAAAGACCCTTCATATCAATGCCAAGAGCAGCCCAGATCTTCTATTGCTTACTGATGGGGGCTCAATATCATAGCATGTCAAGAACTTACCAGAGAAAGCTAGGAAAACACTGGGGAGAGAATTCTGAATAAGAGGCAAAAGTCAAAGTGCAGAGTTTATCTTTTCTAGATGATACATACCCTGGCTGTCAACATAAGGGAGGGATAAAACTAACAGGAGAATACAGAATGTTCCAGTAGTTGAAACAGAAATCTGAGGGGAGTGCCTCCCTAGCAATATTCAACAAATCTTAATTTCTATTACATGTATCATTTTTTTCCTGCTATAATATATAAACTTCTTGAGCTCAGGAGCCATATTTTATGTTGTACCTCCTCTAGCCCAAGACATAGCATGTAGAACAGTGGCTCAGGATAGAATTAAATAACTACTTGTAAAATGTGTTTTGAATAAAAAATTAGTGCATTGATTTTTCTTAATTATTCAATCCTCTACAGAAAACACTGAAAAAACCTGATTTGTTGCCGTATTGCTTAAAAATAGTTATGACATAAATTATTTTCTGTGCAGAGATGAATGAGGTTAAACATATCTGTAACTGTATGTTGGCTAATTATTTACAAAATAAATGGAGTCCTAATGAAGATAATTACTAATTGATATAAAATTAAATTGCACATTATATTTTTGGGAAAAATAATTGTTCCTATTTTTCAGTGCAATGGAAGAAAATTAAAACACTTATCTTTTTTTTCTGTTGGTTGAAATTATCTATGATGACACCAATGAACAAGTTCAGAGTGAAGAATGACCCAAAGATGATAAAGATGACAAAATAAATATACATGTAGAGGTTGTATTCATACATGGGTTGCTTGTTTACCTATAAAATTAACAAAAGTTAGCAGCATGTTGACAGTAATGTTCATCATTTTCTTTTTCACAAAGTAATCCAAACCGTGCTATTCTAGGTCAACTTCGCTTTTTAGAAGTCATAATATTATTGAAGTTCAACATGATCAATTTAAAAAATTTTTTCAACATTAAATATTTATTATATGCTTACTATATACATGAACACAATCTTCAAATCATTGGTAGGACAATTTAGTAATAAAATGCCTTAAAGTGGGTTTTTGTTTCCAGAAAAAAACTGCAGAAGAGAAGATATATATTTATATACATTTTTTAAATTGGATTACAGAAATGTCTTCACTGGATTTTACTTTCTTAGTGAGGAACTTGCTTCACATAAACACTTTCATGGCACTTAAAAATATAAAAATAAAAACTATGAATAAAACATGTTATTTCATTTTAATTTTGATTAACTAATATTTACTGAACACTTAATTATCTCTAGGTTAAGTGCTCTACTTGCATTTTTTTGTTGGATCCTCAGAACAATCCCATGAGGTAGGTATTGAATTATTACTCTGTATACAGTCAATAAACAGGCTCAGAGAGGTAAAGTAATTCACTTAAACTCAGTTGCATGGTTTGTATGGTATGGCAGAGCATGAATTTGAGTCAAGGTCTTTCTCCAAATGCATGTACACCTAATATTATTACTATACTATTAGGTGGAAGTTTTTTAGTCTTTGTGTATATACCAGGGACACCTTGGAGCTACTGTTTGAAAATGGCCAAACTAAACTAAGGAGCTTTTTAAAATTATAGATTTCAGTTTTATGCTGACCAATACTTACATTAACAGAATCAACAGCTGCATACATAATAGTCATCCATCCCTTAAATGTTGCCTGTAAATATAACATTTAGAGAATCTGAATGTGAAGTTCATACTCTAAAGCAGTCACACATTAGTCCATTTAATGTTACATTTATTAAGTAATATCAAACCACTAAGTTTTCCTGTATTTCAAAGTACCACTTTAATATAAAGGTGCTATGTCAAGAGGAAAAAAAAAAAAAAGGACATATTCACCAGTCACATTCTAAATCTTAACCCTTATTAGCTATTTCTAGGTTGTTACAATTCCTGCAAATTTTGCACATGAACTTTTTTAAAAAACGATTGTATTTATTTATTTTTAGAGAGAGAGGAAGGGAGAAAAAGAGGGAGAAAAACATCAATGTGTTTTGATGTTTTTCCTTCTCACACGCCCCCTGCTGGAGACCTGGTCTCCAACTCAGGCATGTGCCCTGACTGGGAATCAAACTGGCAACTTTTTGGTTCGCAGGCTGGCACTTAATCCACTGAGCCACACCAGCCAGGGAACATATAAACTTTTATTTTTCCAGAGGTAGAGGAGAATTTTGTGAAAAAAGGCAAAGAACAACTTATGTCCATTTCTTAGGGATTCTCTGTGCCAGTGGGAAGTCCCTCTCATTCCCATGCAGTATAAAACTGGAAGTCCAAAAAAAAAAATGACTTCATTTTTGGAGCAACATTCAGATGGTACAATGGTGAGAGGCCAGAAGACACCAACAAATCAATTATAAATTAATAACTCTTGAATGCAAAAGAACCTATGATTTCCTACTTATTTTTATAGGCAAACATTCTAATCAACACCATGTCTCTTTTTAAAGTCACAAAGTACTTTATCTTTAATTTGTAGTTAATGGATTACTTAAAATAATGACTTCTGTCAGTGTCCACTAAAATATCAAGCACTCATGAAAGGGGTCACTTACAACTTGAAGCAAGGACAGGTAACCGAGTCCAACATTATCAAAGTTCACCTTCAGGTTTTTCCATTGCACATTTTCACTAACATTCATCAGTGCTAAACACTGGGAAAAATTCTGAACTTGACTTGTAGGAAACCGTGACTCATTTGTCATGTTAACACACTCATAGAACTTGCCCGCAAACAAATTCACTCCCATGATGCTAAATATTAGCCAGAATATAAGACACACAAGTAGCACATTCATGATGGAGGGAATTGCACCTATGAGTGCATTCACGACCACCTAGTATTCAAAGAAAGAAAAGAACGATTAGGTCTCATAAAAATGTTAAATGGGCAACATTAATGAAACACAATGCAGAAAATTAAAGAAGTTAGAAAAGCCACTCTTAAATATTTCAGACATCAAATCAAGCAATCAACATATGTTAACTGAATGCATATGATATGCTCAGCAGAATGCCAAGCAAAACAAAACGAGACAGGAGCCCTGTGATCGACATGTTTACAAAAATACATGATGAACACACAGTGAAACTATGAACAATACAAAACAAAATAACAAAGATGCTATGAAAGCTTAAATGAAAAGAATAAAAATAATAAACCAAAACCTGATATATGTAAGGTGAAGTCGTAAAATCTGCATACTCTAGAAAAAAAAGAAATTTATAAATATAAATCATAATAAATAAAATGTACATTTAAAGGTTCATAGTCCTAGAATTAGCAGCACTAAAATTTTCCCATAGAGAGAAACTACTGATGTGTATAAGCTGAAGTTAAGATTACATATTATTTAGTTGTATGAACCCATTAGATTTAATTGATTCTGCTAGCTGTGTGTTATATGAATTCACTTAAGACCTTGAGACCTGTTTCCTCATCTGCAAAATGAGAGCAACCTTTTCAAAAGTATTATTCTAACTGCAAAAAAATACTTTATTCAGGTCCTTGGTTAAATAGAGATAGTGCTGGCCTCAGTTAAAATGAAAATGAAGTACAGTTTATCTTTAATACTTTATTTCTACTTTTAAGCATTTCCATTGTTAATGATCACCAGCGCCTCTTGCTACTTCCAATCTTCCTGCATGGTGACTATTGTAGCATTTATCACTCTCTAGATTTTCGTAATTGCCCATGCCCCATACTTCAAAACCTCACTATCTTCTGACACTTCAGTTCTAGTCCTAATATGAGTCCAAATGTGTAAAAGACCAATTTATTAAGTAAGTAATTTGTTAAGCTTTGGGCTTCCACACTTTTTGCAATATATCTAGCAAGCTCTTAAGACATTTCCAACTGGTGAAACATTAAGGGTCTCTGATTACTTTCAAGATTGTCTAGAGCAGGGGTTGGCAAGCATTTTGTCAAGTATTTTTAGGCTTTGAGGGTTATATGATCTCAGTTGCAACTATTCAATTCTGCTGCTTTAGCAAGAGTATACATAAACAGTCATGGCTGAAATCCAATAGAACTTCCTTTACAACCATGGTTTTTGGTATGTTCATCCCTAGTCCAGAACAATAGTGTTACCCAGTACAGGTTCCAGTGGGCGTAACATTCTACTAAAAACATTACAGGGATGCCTCCTTTATGGAAAGATGATTCGTACTTTCATGAGATTCTTACAGTGCACATGACACTAAAAGGGTTAGGAAGAACAGGATTAGAGAATGAAGTTCAAAGGGGCCAACTCTTTCACAAGCCACTTTTTCATCCTCATTTCTTGCTAACCTTCCCACAATGTTTATCAGCTAGGCACACTGATTCTTCTGGACATTGCTCAAATGTGCCTTGCATGCTTAACTCTGCGTTTCTCTACCATGTAGCATCTCTGCCTGCAATGCCAACCTGCCCTTTGGGGCCTACTCTCTCAGTCACGGCTCCCATGTCAGCTCCTTGTGAAACCTTCCCAGGTGTCCTCAGGCTGCTACTCCCATCTCTATGTTCCTGTGGTACTGTGTGCTTACTGTTTTATAGCAGATGTCACAGAATAACTACTGTTCTCCTGCCTGTCTCTCCACAACCATTGTCCCTACTCAGTCTTGAGGTACTGAGTTCTATTCACCATGGTATATTTTCTTCATGGCAACTGACACATATTTGGTGTTTAAATGTTTGCTGAAAAAACGTGAGCAGTGATGGGTGTCAGGGAGACAGGTCCATATTGTTCTGATGAGAAGTCATTGACTTGTGAAAATGAATGAGCTCCAGGGCCTCAAGGGAAACTAAATACAAATTGCCTCAAATCATTATTTACATTATTTTTCAAAATGACACACAGTGTGAAGGAACATCTCCTTTTTGCATGATTAATAAATATAACTAAATAGACATGATCTCCCTTGCAAATATATTGATATTAAAATAATCACCTCTACTGTGGATAAAGAAGAAAGCAAATGGGAAAAATAATTGATTGACTTAATCACTGAAGTAATTTTGGAGAGGAACATATATTATTTGTTCCTAACGTGAAGTATAATGTCTGCTCGAGTTTAGGGATCAGTCTAAAGTTCTGGATAAAGTATAACATTCTACCAATGCTCAACAAATGAAGGTAATGTCAATGAATTCCAATACCATCTTTCTGTATAAAATATAACATGTAATTTTTCAATTCTTATATGATAACAAGTACTGAAATTTTATTTATGAATTTTTTGTATAATCATGACATCTCCTACACGTGGCTCCATCATACACTGGCTTCATTAAGCAGTAGAGGAGATGATTGTAATTAGCTTAGCAGGAATAATAATGAAGATCTGTTAGACTAAAAGATCTCTAATAGCCACCGGAAGCTTCAGATTTCTGAACCCCATCCCAGAGTTTATGATTCAGTAGGGCTGGGCTGGGGACTGGCCAATTTGTATTTTTAAATCAGCTCTCAGATGATGCTGATACCTGGTCAGTAGGGCACACTTCGAGAAGCGGTGATAGGCTAATCTGCATGTTAAATTGCTCAGAGACTATAGGTAGAGAGGAAGTCAGATAAATAAATAGATAAAATACAATATAATAAGGATTATATGTATCTGAACATAGAGGAAGGATGCCTAATTATGCCTGATGGTGGATAAAGTAAATGTTAATTGAGGCTTGAAAGAACGGGTAGGTGTTTACCCGATATGTTGATAAATGATGGCTGAGGCAGGGCAGGGAAAAGCATTCCTAGAGAACAGAGACATGATAAAACAGGTATAAACCCGGAAAAGAAGAAATTTGAGGAGAGCAGCAACAGGTAAGGATATAGACTAATTAGAGGTCACTGTCCTCCATGTATTTTAGGAAGAACTTCCTGGTTTAACACAGACCTTATAACTAGGTTGCTGGTAGTCATTTTATCTCACCTTGTTTGTCTTTGCAAAATGAATCTCTTTTTCTAGCATTATGCAGCCTAGTGCAAATTTTGAAAACTCTCAGAGCTTTAGTTTTCTCAGATGTAGTTTGGAGATAATCCCACTTTTACTGAAACCTTTATTTTAAGGATGAAATGAAAAGCAATGGCTGATGCTACTTCACTTCCTTTATTTTTCTTATGTCCCCATACCCAGGGTTGTTCTGTAAAAACTATTATTTGAGCACCTGATATGGGCAAGTCCTTGCTGATTTGTATATGACAGATGTTGACAGGACTAATAGCGTCCTCTTCCCTTGAATTTCCTGGCATACGGAAGATTTTCATTTAAGAAGGAAAAAGTTACTTATTGGGATCTTTGTCTAATAATATTTGATTTACTCTTTGTTAAGCAATATCAACTGAAATAGTGTGTGTATATGTGCATGTATACATACTTATATACATAAGTAGTTCATTATATGTATACATGTGTAAATATAAACAGTTTATAATTTCTACATATCCATTTTTTCTTATTTTATATTCCATTTAAAAATAAGAATATTATGTTAGGAAGTTTAATATTTTCTTACCCTCATTCCTTCAAATCTAGATAAAGCTCTTAGAGGTCTTAAAGCTCTAAGGGTCCGAAGGGACTTAATGGCGCCAAATTCTGAGTACTGAAGAAGGCTTGCAACTAAAGTAACCAAAGAGACCTACAGAAAAAAATAAAATTTTCATTAATTATTTCAGTGAAATAATAAAACATAAAGAGGAAAAGTCAAATTCAAAGATCACTAAGAGCAACTCAACAAAAACAGTATGATTTTATATATCAAGTCATCTAGTCATTGCCTAAAAGAATGGGTAAGATGGATGCTTTTTTTTAAGACAATAGGTTTAAAGGAAGGTTAACTAAAATAAAATGAAGTAACAGAAGGAAAACACATTATTACTTATATCTGAATAAAAGTCACATGTACCTTTCACATTTTGGTAGTCAATGATTATGTACTTGCACATTAATTCTGAACATTAAATTAGAGTAACTATCAAAATTTCAATTGAAATCAAACTTAGGGCATAACAAAGGGTGTGATTCTAAAGCTAAGTCATGAGATTATGTGTAATTAACTCAACTAAATCTAAGCTTTAGTATAAACCTTATTCAAAAGCAAATTGAAAAATCATAATTTCCTCATAAGGTATTATGATATTGAACATAATAGGTGCAAATTATTGAAAAAACTATGGTATAGTCTGTAACTGAGAATATATGTGCATATATACATCTATTTATATATGCATACATGTATGTATATTGATGAGTAATGCTCAATTAAGTAAGTTTCAAATAATCAAAAAACGTATGGAAATCAAACAAGTCCATCTTCTAAATATCCAGTCAGATCAGTGGCTCCAGAACTTGAATATGCTCCAGAATCATCTGGAGGGCTCATTACCGGTGTTTGCTGGAACCAGAATTTCTGATTAGTAGATATTGGGTGAATCCTGAGAATTGCATCCATTGTAAGTTTCCCTCTATGTGTGTCAATGATGTTGGTTCAAGAATCACACTTTGAGAACTACACTAGATATGTTGCTCAATTTTTGAAAAATGAAAAACATTTCAGCTCTTCCCTCAAATACGCATCCCTATATTTGCATCTCTACCATCAAGAATATTGTGTGCAACTTTGCTCTCCATGTTACATTATTAAAACATGTTATATCAAACTTATATAATATATAATTACATTTTTAATTTTTGCTCACCTTTTTTCAAAATATTAAATATTTCATATTGAAGCTATGTACTTTCCCGAGTTCTGCATGTAACATACCCCTAAATATTGAGAATTACCACTTCATTTTTTCAAATACAAAATAAAATAATTTGTTATTAAATACCATAAGACCTTCTTAATTTAAAATAAATTCAATTTTATTTGTAAACTTTTATTTCCTAAGCAGAGTGAAGAAAATAATTATGTTTCTAATAATATGTTAAAAGTTTTTGAATATCTTAAATCTTTTATAATAACTTAAAAAAGACCCACCATATTTATAGGTTAAGAGAAGAGAAATAACCTACATTCCTTCTATTATTTCTTCTTTTGGTTAGCCTTTTTTAAAAACTATTATATTACAAAAGCATCTACCTTATCATTTATTTTTATAGGCGGTAACAAGGTAAAATATACATAAAAGGTGAGTCTAAAATCAATATAAAATCATTAATATAAGGTATCAAAAATTAGATTTTTTTCATACAGAAATCCCAAGAGAATATGTGAGGTATAATGTATAATTAGGAAATTTTTTTCTGTATATCATCTATATAGAAAACAAAGAATGTTATTGCTGTTAATATTTTATATATGAGCTGTTACAAAGGAAAGAGTTTCCAGAGCTTTAGATAACAGTTGAGAAACTCAACTTTTGAGTAGATATGATTAGTTTTGGCTAAATTTTGTAGTTTTTGCTGTTTATAGCCATGTTTACTTGTAATTTTGATATCTGTGGGTAATGCTGTGTTAATTTACCTTTTCTGAATAGTTTGAGAGTGCAGACTTTGGTTAAATGTGAGAGTGCCTGTTGGTACTATAAAAATTTGCATGTTGCCCTCTAATTCCAGACATCAAATGGAAAAACAATTCTAAAAACTATGACTAGTTATATATGTTCTTTCTCTAATCACAAAGGCTAGATTTTTTTTGAAAAATCTAGGCAAATTAATAAAAGATGGAAGGACATAATTAATTCTGAGAAAAATAACATTGTGAGATTAAGGTCATAAATTAAGAAAGCCTTTTAAAAATAATACAAAATATCATATAATACATTATTATATATTATTAAAGCATAATATTAAAATATAAAATAAAATAGAGTACACTAAATAAAAATGAATTGACAATAATGGGTGATGTACCATTGATTTTTATTCAAGATGTGTTGATTTCACAAGCTGTTTTAGGCTCTGTTTCCTATTTCAAAAAGATGAATAAAAAATATTTTCACTTTGTTAAAAATAATAAACTGAAGCATTCTTATGTATTTTCTATTATTCAAGTAATCAACGGTTTTCTGAATTTATTATTTGAAAATATTAATGCCAATTTCTCTGCTCCACTGCCATCTAGAGATGAATGGTTAATTGGTTTGAATGGGGATAAGGGCTGATTTTGGTTTTCCTTATCATTGTGACTGAGATAAATATTATGAAAGTCCATGTCTTTTCTCCTCTCTAACAGAGTTATGTGCTTGAGTACTACCATTTTTATATAACTTTCAGCTAACATATCAGGCAAGTGGATATATCTATCATCTTATTTTCTAATTTTATATTGTAGAAAAATCAGTATTTTATCTTTTTTATCTGTGTCCATGCCTTTTTCCATTCCCACCTCCCACCTTTCAGTTTTTCATTTTGTTCATATTTCCAAAAGGAATAATATCCAAATTGTGTGTGTGTATTTAAACATACGCATATATTTAAAAATCACATATTCTCTGATTGCAGAAAATACATGCAAGAATAAATTATACCTTATAATTTATTACAAAAATTACAAAAAAGGAGTTTACATTTGTTGAAAGGTTTCTCTTAATATTTCTCACAGAATATTTCTACTGGCTATATTAAAATTTCTAAAAACATAACCCTGTAGCCTGAAAGTATAAAGTCAACCAAAATTAAAAAATAATATATAGCATTAGTGAAGGCTTTGCAGAACACTTAACCATAAGAAGAAATTTTCTTTTAAATTTCATTCAAAGTACTTACATCAACAATTAAGAAGTCCAGCCAACACCAGGCATTGGTGAAATACGTTTTATAACCATAAGCTACCCATTTCAGAAGCATTTCCAGAATGAAGACATAAGTGAATATCTTATCAGCATAATCCAGAATAGTCCTAATGGTCTTTTTATTTTCTATATATATGTCTTCAAAAGCCTGTGGAAATAATCAAATTTCAATTCATTTACAATTGAAGGCTTGTGATTCATAACAAAAACAGCAAGAAAATTTTTATGAAAAAAAATCACTGAAACATAATACTACTATGGGCCAACTGACTTTCTTCTGGTTTACGGCTACTGTTTCACACCCAGCTCTAGACTTCTCTCCACCAGGGCCTGCCACTGATCACCAGAAGACACGAGAAAGAGGGTACAAAAGAATGAAATTATTTATAAGACTCTAAAAGAACCAGATCTCTGGCATAGGCAGCAATTTCCATCTCATCCAACTCCCATTTTATCCCTCTTCAAATTGGCCAAGACCTAATTTAAAACTTGATTCCAGGATCAGCCGCTCTGATATATATCTTTCTCACCCTGCACTCTCCTTCACACCCGGCAGTAGGATGTGGAGCTTCTCCTTCAAGCCTTATATGCTTGTACATCCTCAGGAGCACAGAACGAGGCAAGGAAAGGTTTGCTAAATGAACACGTGCAGTAGATTAGTAGGGCTATAGAACACAGAGGATGGTTCTTTCTTTGAATTTGGCACAATTATCTTATCATTCATTAAAAGCTTCAGCTCTATGAATTACTCTTATATTCATTCCATGAATGTGGCACCTTTAACACTCTCAAAGTGACAGACAATGATACTGTAGTCACAGTCACAAGTTCCTTGGGAAATAATTTCAATAGACTTAAACAATTGAGCTCCCTGAAGATACTGAAAATGACTGTTGGCCAAAACAGGTCTAAAGTATTAGAATTTCCTCTTTCAAGTTTAAACAATATTCACCATGTTGGGTAAAATGAAAGGGTCTGCATCCTTCGTGGTTAACATTATACTATCTGTCCACAGCCATGGCCTTGTGCCATTCTTGTTATTCCAAATTCTCCTATCAATTCCTTAAATATGATCCTCAGCACTTTTTGCACACTATTGGTATGAATATTGAGGAAAACAGAGAAGCTGAAACAGAGAGAATGGGCAGATTTACTAAGATGCTGAAAGAAGATTCCAGCAGCTGGCAGGGGTTCTGAGAGTCAATGGAATTAAAATGCAAGGGGAGACTTCTAGCCCTCAGGATTTTCCTGGCCACTCCTCCAAGTTGTGGCCAAATCTGGCCAGCCACAGAGACAGGAATGATGGCAGAAGATAAGGAAGGGTCTTAAGCACAAAGAAGAAGAGTGCTGTTCCTAGACCTGGGGGGCAGAGCAGGGCCAGTAGATGCTGAAAGCTAAATACTCTGCCTGAGTACACCTTGCTCTGACAAGTCCCAGAGCCTGAAACAGGGTTCAGCCTCAGGGCTCCTAGCTTCTGGGGCCAATTTTGTGGATGTGGGAGCAAGGGGCAAGGAGGTCATTATATTTGTTCTGATTTTGGGTGTAGGCATTACTATTACTCATTTCAGTTACCACTTCTTCATCTTTCTGGTGTGGACTCCCCTTTCTGAGGAGCCACAGCATAGTAAAAAGATACAGTGGCTTTGCCATTAGACCTTAGTTAAGTTATGGCTCTGTTATTTACTAGTTTTGAGACATAAAGTAACTTTTCAAACTCTACCTAGCTTCCTCCTTGGTAAAATAAGCAAAATGCTGTAATATCACAGGATCGTTTGCAAATTAAAGGAGAACACCTATATAAAGATCTTGAAATACAATAAATATGTACTGAATTACAGCTATTGCCTTTTATTTATTTTATAGAGAGATATTTTAAAAATCTAGCTCAACTGGTAAATTCCCTGAGTACAAACACCAGCTTCTCAAAATACCTTTTCCCTTTCTTTCTGCTATGATTCCTTCAAATTTCAGTTTTGAGAGTGCCCCTGCCCAAAAGTGTTATCTTCATTTTTAGACATTTTGAATAAGGCATTACTCTAAGTTTTACTTTAATATTTTTGTAATTTCCTTTCTGAGCCTTAGTCATATGTGACTCAGCATGAGATAAACTTCCTTAGTTATTAGGAAAGTAGACAAGATAATGTAGACAAGATTCAGTCAAGATTCCTCCTTGCATTCCATCAGATAAGTGAAGTGGCATTTTCTTATCCATCTTCTGTTTTTGAGAAAAGAGAATTGTTAGGAGAGGCCATCTACAGTGGGCCCAGAATGTCCCTGCATGTTCTCAATGGGTATGCGAAGAATACAAGGCTCTGACTACTCTTTGTTCAGGCCATTTCTTGGGGTTGTTTTTGCAACAAGCAACCTTGCGAGGTGAGATAGGGTCACTGTCTGGAACAAAGAGCAAGGATGCTTAGTGCTTGCTATAAGAGGGTGGGTTCTCTAAGCTCAGTGCTCATCTGCTGTGACGTTCCCCCACTCTTAAAATGTACATTTAGCTCCACACAATGGTCCCATGGGATTTGGGGACAAGGTGAACTGACACAAACATGTTGAAGCTCGTGATGCTTTCTATGCCATGAGTAATAAAGCCCTTTGTCTCTGACTTGAAAGCAACATATCTTCTACCAGCATCCATGAAACAGTAACAGGTTAACTTATTTTAAATAGAGTAAGATCAAATCCCAGATCCAGGAAGGCTATCTATGAGGCAATTTATAAAGTTTTTGAAAATTGTGTTTTTGTATAGTGGGATTTCCAGTGGCATCTCTAGCTGGAACTGGGCTTCTATTGGCTCACCACTATCAGTGTCTGTGGGAAAGAAAAACAAATTAAGAAGAGGCTCAGGGAGCCTATAACTCCCAGACTCCTTTCAACTCTCACAGAAGGTGGTTGGTAAATGTAAAAGAAAGGAAACTTTTCCCACTCTCACCCAGAATTACGATTTATTTTCCCGTATAGTAACACTCAAGATGCTGCATGAACTGACACTGCCTACCTTTGTCTTTTGTCACAGTGTCTCTGGCCACCACTTTCATCTCCATATTTACTCTCCTTCCTATGACACTTCCTACAGTTTGGTAACTTTTAATTTCCTATATATATGATGTTGTTTTATGCTTCCTTCTAATTGTACAACATTCCCCTCAGACCACCTTACTTCACTGGAAAATTATTATTAATCTTTCCAGATGCTGCAAAACATCGTCTACTTTTCTGAAATCCCAGCAGACAATGCTTCTTGCTACAGGCTTTATCAAGTATATTCTTAACTTACAAACACATCCCAGTTCTACAATCACTTGTGCCTCACTCTTCCCTGACTGCTGAGTTCCTTGTCTTACCTGGGTCTTATCCATCTTTGTATTCAGGTCAGCAAGAATAATGTCTGGCATGTAGTAGTGCTCAGTAAACACTCACTGAGCAGAACTAAAATTTTATCTTTGCCACTAATCATAGAGATTGATAGCTAAAAAAAGTTGCCAAGGTATTTTTATCTTCCAACTCATTAAAAGTACTGACAATCAATTTATCGTTTTAGGTGTCAGATCACTTACCAGAGCACCACTGCTGAGCAGGATCATGAGAACAATAAAGCTTTCAAACCAACTGTGTTCAACTATCCTGTAGCATGTTATCCTGATGTTCCACCAGATTCTTCCTTTCCCTGAGTTTATGTTAACTTGGCAGCAAGGGAATCTCCGTACACAACCTGGCAAGAAAGACATGCATATGAAATCCTGATATTCAGAATTAGTAAAATACTAATTAGTAAAATACTTAAAATATGAGGTCTGTCCAGTAGGTATTTAGCCATATAATATGAAAAATAGAGACATTTATTGAAAAAGATATGATATAAGATACAAGAAACATTGTAGAGAATCTCTTCCCTTTCAAAGGTGATTTTAGTTTTGGGAAAGGCCAGAAGTCTCAGGGCACTAAATCTGGGTTGTAGGGAGACTGAGTCACCTGGGTGATTCTATATTTCATCAACAAACTCTGCACGAGACATGATGGATGAGCAGATGAGTTGTTGTAATGAAGCTGGCAATCACCAGTTGCCCATAGCTGTGGCCTTTTAAATTATGGGAATAGATTCCACAGAGAAATGTTCAAGCTTTATGCAAAATTTAATGCAGATTCACTGCTTTATTCATGCAGTCATTTTGAATGCAATGGCCACAGAGTACACATGCTTACTCAATGGCGTCCACCATTCCCACTGACTAGTACAGTGAAGCGGTCATTGTTCACACATGTACATTCAAGTTCACCTTCCTTGGATGTCAGGCTACCTCAATGTCACACAAACCATTCTCGTTATATTTATAATGGCTGGATGTTTTCTGGAGACCTTGTATATTACTTAGTGCAAAGATTTCCCTATAATGTCCCACAACCAAATAATTTCTAATACTTATCCTTTCAGCTTCAAATAGATTCAGCTTGGGTGCCACCTACTCTCATCTCCTAACTCTCCTTAGTGTTTTCTTAATACTTGTCAGCTATTTCTAACTTTGAATATCCTTGTGTTCTGTTTTTCCCTGATTTCTCACCAATCTCTTCTATGGTGTTTAAGCCACTTTTTTGTTATTGCAATCCTGACACCACCCCAATATACAACCCTGATACACAATGAACACTAAATTTGATGAATAAATGAATGAACTAAAATCTGAGGACAAAAATGCATTTCAGGATCCTCTTTGCTGAACGATAAAGTTTCTTTAATGTAGATCTAGTCTGCATTTTGGTGCAGCTTCAGCTTCTCCATAAAAAACCCTTTGAGTAACACTATTTGAAGTAATATTAAGAAAGTTAGTGGAAGGTCCTAAAATCAAGACAGAAAAAATAGATTCTTGATTAGAAGATAAAGAGGAAACTGTTTCCGGACTCAAATTTTAAGCTAAAAACAAATCTGACATTGGAAACCTAGGAGTAAAACATGGCTATAAAAAAACTGAGAAATATTTTATTTAATATATTTTAGGTTTATTAATTTATTTCACCATTAAGCATTGTCTGTACACTTAGCTTTGTGTACAGTATCCTTGACTTGGGGAATTTATTTTTTGCTTTGGTTAGGCAGACAGATAAAGAAATAAATGACTATATCCTGTTCAACAACTAGAATGACAGGTGTTATTTTGGTAGCATTGAAGAAGTCTTCCTACCCTGGCTTGCTGAGAAGGAGGGGTCAAAGGAGGCTTCTGAGAAGAGATAGAGACTGAATTGAATCAAAGTACTAGCCAAAAACGGTTCTGTGGAATTCCAGGTCAAGAGGCAGCAAAATGTGTTGTACATAGAAATTAGAAGCTGTTCAGAATGGTGATGAATGCAAAGTGTACACAAGGGGCACTGGTGAGGTTGAGAAATTGATCAGATTACAGAAAGCATTTCCCCCACCTTAAAGAGTTCAGTCCATATCCGATAAATATTAAGGAGCTGGGTCTATATCCTATAAACATCAAGGAACCAGTGAAGTGGTTGTAAGCAGGGAATGATAAGGCAAATTGCAATTTAAATAGATGTTTCCAACAGTTGTGTGGAGGGTAAATTGGAAGGAAAGAAAAAAGAGTGGTGGAGATGAGGAAAGATCAAGGGCCAGAAAACTAGTTAGAATTCTGGTTCAGCGCAGCAAGAATAATAATGAACAGATTTAAGACATATTTGACAGGTAGAATCAGTACAATTTGGAGACTGATTGGATATGGATATCAGTAGGAGGAGGAGCCCAGGATGACTACAGGAGCAGGAGCTAACTTGGAGGTAATGAGTCTGAGATGCCAGTGAAACCGCTAAATACAGATACTCTACAGAATTTGCAAATATGAATTTGAATCTCAGAGAAAAAGACTGAACTAGAAAAGAATATGTAGGAATCATTAGTATATTTGTGTTATCTGAGATCAGGACAGTTTCTGAGGTCATTATAGAAACACTATTTAGGATGAAAAAGAGGCAAGTCTGAAACATTATGAAACAGCAATATTAAGGGGCAGAATTCAGTGGTATAGGGGAGCCAGCTCATACCAGTTCTTGATAACATTGTTAAATTGTAAGGATGTTTTGCTAGCACATTATTAAATGCAGCCATTATCAAAAATTAAATTGTATACATTTAAAATTATAACTTGTTTTAGAAAGGCAATAAATGTTGAAAACAATCACTTTCTAAACATATGGCTATTATCTATGCTCCTGAGACTCTATTTTTATTTTATCTCAATGGTGGAAATTTGTTATACTCTGGACTACTGTGCATCTCATCTCAGCTCCACATTTAGTGAAGTTATATCAGTAGTTTTAAATCATCCATGGTAGGAATCTTTACACCACAAAAGTCATCGAATGCTATAAATCCACACTCCTTAATTTTCTGGAGAAGATTTAAAGTGATGAAGAAAATGTTAGTAGAACAGATAAAATAGTAAAAGTATGTCATGTTTGTAATCATTACACTGACTAGCACAAAAAATTTAGGAAATACTCATTCATTCTTCAAAGTCTATTATTTAATTCAGCAAAGATTTGCTCCGTCATTGGTGAATGAGTCAAGTTCTGACACATAGCTTCTTTGTTTCACTTTCACCACCCTGATTAACATCATTGAAAATATCTACCAACATTCAGTTTAAAACTATGCTTGTTCATCAACTGCAATCATTGAGTTTCAATACATACAAAATTTTGGCAAAATTTAACAAAAGCATTCTGTAAGAATCAATGAGCTATAGGGAATGTATAATAAAAAATGCTGTTTACATTATTTGTAAATTGAATGACACATAGCCTTTAAGTCAGTCAAGTTTATAATAACCTGATGTACTTATGCATACTTTCTTTCCTTGGAAACTGATGGTTAAACATTTACTTGCACACCACTAGGACAGGTGAAAGAAGAGAAGACCTTGAAGGAGAAGAGAGAGAGAGAGAGGGTGGGAGGGATGTACTAGAGGTTGCGGTAAAAGAAGTCAGAGAGTAAAGTTTCATGAAGGACTGTTGAACTGAGCCATGACCAAGAGGTCCAGAAAGAGAGTGATCAAAAAATTTAACAATTAAATTTTAAAAATTACAGTTGATTAAAAAACACACAACCAGAATAACTTTGAAGGAAGAATTTTAAAAAAAGGAAGTCCAATTAATCCCTCTTTTAAATTTTTTTAGATAAAAAAGACCTCATTTGAATGAAGGCAGCAGGTGAGAGAGCAATTTTTAGGCCCTTATTTCAGAAGTTTGTAAGCTAGGCAATTTAAAAAAATAATTTTCTTTCCTATAAAACAATATATTTCATAAAAATACTGAGCCTATCAAATAATAACTTAATATAATCATAAACTGTATGTGCTGAAACAACAAAACTAGACTTCTCTTATGGACTACATGTTTTAAACAATGTCTCATGGCTTCTCTCATAATTCTGTAGTGACACTAGTTAGTTGATCCAGTTTAATATGAGGTATATCTTTGTACTTTGATTTCTAGCTTTATAGAACTGTAACAAGCTATGTTTTTTTTTTTTTTTTCGGTTAAGTTCTTGCTGTTTCTGCTATCATGTATATTTTACATGTTCTTGTCATTTCTCTCTGGAAGTTTCTAAGTTCCCAGAAGGCTAAACCTGTGTCTGTTTTGCCTTCTCTTCTGCTCACATATATAGCTTAATTTGCTGTGTAAAGTTGACTGTAAAGACATAATCTCTTCCTTTGAAAAGAGTTCTAAAATCATCTAATAATTAATCATGGTCTGAGAGTCATGTCTCTCTGAATTCTAGAATTTACAAAAAGATTGGATTTAAAAAAATAGGGCAAATAGAAAATACACACCTGACTTCACTTATCCAATGTTAACTACAGTTAACATGACCTCAGATTTGAAAGAATTTATCTTCATTGTATTTAAAATAATTATCTTATATCTCAAATATATTAGTAAAGAAAATATTTTATAAACCGATGTGGAAAAATGGTAAAAGAATAGGGCCAAATATTGACTCCCAGATATCTCTTTCAGGGCAAAGGAAAACACCAGAAAGATTGTAAAACTTTAAGACAGAATTGGTTTTATATTAATTTAATGTTTGAAACTTTAGAATTTATCATAAACTTAAAAATAAAGATCTCATGCAAAACAGAATCTATCTGCTTCAAGTGTAATTATCAGAGGAGAAAGTTATCCCTTTGGTTATGAAGATTTTACTAACTGGGATTTAGTTTTCTCTTTTTTAAAGTTGAAGAGAAATGTTATTCTTGATTAAGGTGAGAAAAGGAACTATGTGTTCTAACTAGAAAAGTAAGTAAACTTTTTATCTGGGATGTCGCTTCATAAATATTGCCCTCAGGATTTATCACACCTTAGAGAGTTTCTCTCATTTTGAGGTGGGAGTGCTCAATTGCTTGTCTGGCTTTTACGCAAAGGTATATCCCAACAGATTTCCAACCTAGCTGGCTAGCAACATTATGACACCTTCTTTTTTAAAAGGACTATTAATTAAATGTAAACATAACAGAAAACTTCTGAAACATTTTTATAGATCCACGAGGGTAAACAATATCTCCTTTGGGAGGTTTCATTAATTTGCTCTTGTGATCCATAACATAAAGTTTATACTGGGTTTCATCATGTTAAACCAATGCTCTCAAATAATAAAGAAACCATTGATTTCTTCCAAGACATATTACCCATTCATAAAAACATAGTAGCATGATCAGTATAATTAATGTAAAAAATTCATTAGGAAAACAAGTCATTTTTTCACCACCTCTTAAATACTTCCTTAAAATGTCTAAATCCTCTAAAACTAATATTTTGTCCACATTTTCTTTCCAATAAAAGGCACAAAGGAATTAGTTATTGTGTTAATAAAGTTATAAGTAGTTATTAGGGTTTTTTTTTTAAATATTTTATTTTATTTTTTTAGAGAGGGGAAGGGAGAAAGAGAGGGAAACATCAATGCATGGTTGCATCTTGCGTGCCCCCTGCTGGGGACCTGACCTGCAACCCAGGCACGTGCCCTACACTTTTTAGAAAGGTCTCCTCTGACCATTCTATTTATATGATAGTTGGTTCCTATCCCTCCCTTTTCTTTTTACTTCTCCAGAGCCCAGCAAGTCCAATGAGTATGAAGTCTCTAGGAGAGCACAACTGCTTGAAGTGATGTGACTGAGAAATGCATGTTCCCTTTTAAGTAAACTTCTTATAGTTAAATATATATGTGTATATATTTATTAGTTTAAATTTTTACTGAAGTAGAACACACATACAGTTTAGCAGGGGTCCCCAACCCTGGGCCATGGCCTAGTAGTGGCCTGTGGCCTGTTAGGAACAGGGCAGCCAGCAGGAGGTGAGCAGTAGGCTAGTGAGCGAAGCTTTCATTACTGCCTCAGCCCCTCCTCCTGTCAGATCAGCATTAGATAGATTCTCACGGGAGCGTGAACCCTACTGGGAACTGTGTATGCAAGGGATCTAGGTTGCACACTCCTTCTGAGAATCTAATGCCTGATGATCTGAGGTGGAGCTGAGGCAGTGATGCCAGGGAGCAGCTGCAAATACAGAGTATCATTAGCAGAGAGGTTTGACTGCACAGAGTACATAATAAATCAATTGCATGCAGACTCATATCAAAACCCTATCAGTGAGTGGCAAGTGACAAATAAGCTGCATCTGATAGCAGGCTATAAAGCCATCCCTACACTGCCCCCGATCCATGGAAAAATTGTCTTCCATGAAACCGGTCCCTGGTGCCAAAATGGTCGGGGACCACTTCAGTATAGTATAAAATTTTAAATATACATAGATAAACTCAAGTAACAGTTCCCTAGGTCACAATGAAATATTTCTAGCACTCTCAAAGCACCCTCATGCCCTTTCCAAATCTTACTCCATAAAGGTTTAACTACTAGTCTGACTTCTATCTCTGTAGATTTGGCCTATTCTTCCTTTTTTTCCCCAGCTTTATTGAGATAGAATTGACAATTAAAAATTGCATATGTTTAAAGTGTACACTTGATGATTTTATTTAATTATACATTGTAAAATAATCACAACAATCAAGCTAATTAACATACATATCACCTCACAAAGTTACCAATTTCTTCTCTTTTCTGTGGTGAGAACATTTAAGATCTACACTCTTATCAAATTTCAGGTATAAAATACAGTATTGTTAACTATAGTCACATTGTTGTACATTAGAATGTATTCATATTGTATAACCGAAACTTCAGCCCTCAGTAAATTTTCAAGGCTAGAGCTCATCTGAACATGTGTAAAATACCTGTTATATACTAGACTCAATTTAGAAGTTATGAATACTTTCAAAGTAATCACATAAGTATGCTCACTGGTGGTTTGTAGTATTAAAATAACTTTTGTAAAACTGGATCTCAGTAAGACTGCATCTACAGTCTGAAATAGCTCAGCACTAATACTTTCTGTGGAGGATTTAAGCTTTTCTAAAGCTTTTTTTTTTTTTTTATTTGAAGTCATAATTTGGTTGAGAAGCTCCCTTCTTTCTAGTTATCCTAGAATTTTAAGTCAGAGTCATTCATAAAATGGGTAAAGACAATCTTGGTAACATCCTTACAAATTTAGTTTACATGGTACTGCCCTATTTATTAAGAAACAGGTAATAGATCATAAAATTCTTAAAAGCCTTTAACACAAACACTTCTAAAGAAAGCTCTATGTGTTTTACTTATGGTACAGCAAAAAAAATACAATTTCTATCAATTGGGTGCCATAGTTTTCTTCTCCCACAAAATGAGATTGGCTGGCTGGTGTTCAAAGAAAACTCATGCACTCATGGTCATTTATAGACATCTTTATTTGGTAGTCATTTTGTTTACTGCATGAGTGTTATAGGAGACTATTTGCAAAAGTCTTGGAGAATGAAAGCAAGTCAATAATTTCTCTAAAAATTACTGATGCTGAGATAAGCCCATGAATAGATAGTGAGCCATTACCATTAATGCCATCATAGCTTCTATATAGGATTGTTAACAAAATACTTTAAAAACAAAAAGGAAAGAAGAAGGACAGGCACTGTGAATTAATTTATGCGCTACCTCATGCAATCTCCTCAACATCCCTATGATATGGATGTGGTTGTTCTAACCACTTTACAGACCAGGTATCTAAGGGATAAAATTTTTAAATATGTTCCAGTTTTCACAGGGAGTTAGCAGTAGGCCAATTAGGACTCGTTTATCAGTCTTCAAATATGCTCTTTATTATTGTATTATACTATAACCCTACTCTAAGTTTGTATTTTAACTTAGATGACACAATACTTGCTTAGAATATACTGCATACATTTCTAGGTCCAGTTTAAATTTACTAGTTTGAATAAAGTCCTTGAAAAATTCCAGTAGTAAAAAATTCAGTTAGGCAGAAAATGAAAAGGAATAAAAGGAGATACTTGTAGAAAAGAATAGATTGAGGCCAAAGTAAAGGCTTTGCATGCCAAGTTAAAGACTTCAGGTTTTAGCCTATAGACCAATGGTTCTCAAATTTCAGTGAGCATCAGAATATCCTGGAGGATTTGGATACTGTCCTCAGAGTTTTCGATCAACTTACGGTTTCTGTGATCAACTTGTGGCTAAAAGAAAGAGATGAAGACTGACTCAAAGACTAGCTTGAGAGGAAGGACAGATCATGGTGTCGCTAAGGGAGATAAGACTGAAGGATGTAGTAAGCTGTATGCAGAGAACTACTAAACTTCGTTTTAATTTTTTTAAACTTGAGATGTTTAAAGGCAACAGGTTATGGGAGTTGTAGGTAGATGAGAGCTCAAGAGTGAGGGCAGGAGTAAAGATAATGATAAGAGTCAACAACACGGAAATGGCTGTTCGAGGTATAGACACGGATGAAACCTCAGGACCAGGAAATAAGAAGGCAATGAAGCATCAAAATGTGGGAAACATCATTATTTAAGGGATGTGCATAAAATCAGTCACTAAAAAAAGTGAGGGAAGAAACTCAGAACTGTCAGAAATGAAAAAGAACACAGGTACAATGTAGCCTCTGAAATGAAGGGAAGGAAGAATATTGAGACAGACTGTGATCAACAGCATCAAATAGTAAACTAAGAATTAGCACATAGCTTTAACTTTTGATAAAAAGGACAATGGTACCATCTATCCCATCAAACTGTATTCTAGTGGTTCCCTGGAGCTGGGAACATAGATTAAGGATTTAAAATGGAAAGTATCAACATTCTACAGTAAGTAGAGTGCTTTACAGTTTAACACATTGTTATTGTAAATCATTGCTACTAGAGTATCATAAGGATTTAAACAAAAATTTAGAAAGCTCCAATGACTTGCCCTTGGTCATGGAGCCGTGACTAACTCACCATGGAATGGAGTAGTCTGACTTTTCACTAAACAACCCCTAGTAAGTATTAGGTTTAAGATAAACGCCCCAAAATTAATAAATGAATCTAACCAAGGTCTTGATTTTTCTCTTACCATCTGTAAAACAGGCCTCTGGCTCATCTGCATTTATAGTTTCAGCCTCGGCTTCTTCTTCTCCTGGCAGAGGGTTATCAACTGTGCTGCACTCAGAGGAACTTGATGGGTTCAGTCTCTAAAAAGAAATTCATCACACAGCAGGTAGTTCATTTAGAGTTCATTCAAATCCTGCATTTAAGCCATATTTAATAACCAGAGTCATGCAAACAATTATGAAAAAATATTAACAGTAAGATGGCTATAAAAAATAAACACAATGGCCAAGTAACCTTACAATGCATCTGTGCTTGATCTATCTACACATCCTGTGAAAAATAAATGTCATTATTTTCATATGCTAATGCATATTTAGACGTGATTACCATAAGGTAATATTTTGATGTAAACTACAGCATTTGCAAAGGGCTGGCGAAATTTTTGTTATGTTTTATGTTTAATGGAAATTTGTGTGTATCAGTAATTATTATTTAGGACAACTAAGACCCTAATAGCAATAACAGATAAGTGCCAAATTGCCAACAGCTGTTAAATGAGAGGGCAGATCTGACAGTTGGCAGGAAAAAAAGCTTGTTGATACTTAAAATTAAAAAATATAAATTAGTGAAAAATGAAATCCAGACATATTTACTCTATTATTTCATATCAGTATATGTATCAGGATGATATAGATAGAAATATTTCATCAAGATCAAAAAAGTCAAATATTATACTGGAATCAAACACTGAAGACCATAGTAATTATCTCATCCAACACCACCCATTTTAGTATAAAATTTCAGAGTACAGTGCTGAAATTTTATAGTATAATACAATAGAAAAGATCATAAAGTATTATTTATAATGTCAAGAGAGTGGCTACTAAAGTGAGCACCACATGCAAACTCTGAAACAAAGATTTAATGAAATTAACACGGCAGACTAACACATGAGAGGAATGAATTCATTGTTATTATGATCATATAATTGATCATAACATAAGCGAGTTTTTTTTCTCACCCAGAACGTTAGGATCAAATATGATATTTACACACATACATATAGACAGAAATTTTTAGAAAAAAATACATACAGCAATTGTAGCAAAACTCTGTCAATTTTTCCTAATATTGTTTCATGAGGGGTAGAGCAGCACATCAATGGAAGAGTTCATTTTTCATTCTCATTTGCTAAATAATGTGAATATTGAAAACTACTAGTTATTACAACATGTACTTCTCATATTAAGATTATGGCTTTACTTTTGTTTAGAATTGTTAAACAAATTGAAGTGGTAAAAATAAGGAATTACTTATTTTGGTTAAATTAATTCTTCAATCTATTAATTTACATTAATATCATAGGCCCAATCTAAAGTATTAATTTTTAGAGACTGACTTGGAAGTTAAAATTTTTCTCTATGGGTACCACATTAAATTTTCAGTGCTATTATTACTACACAATATTCAACAGCAGTGAAAAAGGCATTTATTAAGTATTGCACCTCACAAATGATGTAAGCAAAATTCTTTTTATAATGAGAGTAAAGGATTATGAATAGAGGCATTCACGGAGGCATTATATCTGCCAGACCAAAGAGTTACAATAATTTCAGTTATGAACAGCATCGGTATAATATTTCGTTTAAAGGAAGGTGATTTAAACTGATTACATTAATATAAAATTACTTTGAAATAAATGGAAGCAGAAATTATGACTGAATATTCTGTAAGACCTTAAGGTTATAATATATGCATTGCTCCAAAAACAGTAGGAAAACTTATAATTACTAATATGTGCTAGTGTGCCAATTACCACAAAAAAAGATTTTTATTAACTATATCTAAACACTACAATTATTTGATGTCTTTAGTTCTTGACTTCTCAGATGCAAGTGAATTGTCACCAGGGAACTGATAGACAAGACACTATGATTCTATAGAGATGAAATGAGTCCTTCACCTCTGAAAAAGAATTATTAGCCTAGATTTTGAGGCAAGGCTGTGGGAAGAATTGCTGATTGGAAGAACGTAAAGCACTTCTCTGCTAGTAGCCAAAATATGGACAACTAGGAAACAGTTATAACGTTTTTTTTCCTCAGCTGGTAATGACATTTTAAATAAAGTGGTTCTAATTTGAAGAATTCTGACTTAGCCTGAATCAATAGAAACATCTTCAACCTCAGTGTTTGTTTTTTTCACTCTTTAAAAAAGCATTAACAAAGGAGGTTTATGCCAAGTTAACTTATAAGCAAGTAAGAGTTAAGGTGATTTTATGGGGGTTTATCTTGCCATGGAACCCTTTTTTCTCCCCCAGTTTTTACAATTAAATGTTAGCAATTTTTTCAATTAAATTCGGATTGTGGCTCAGATTTTATATCAATGTTATTCCTCACTGGAAGAGGAATTAACAAAATATTTAACATGAACTCCAAATAATTTGTATTACAAGATAAATTATTGTGGCTCTTTGAAAATTTAAGTTTAGAATGTTTTTAGAAATTTAATGTTTTTCTGAAAATGCACTACGTATTCACACTATTTCGATTCTCTCTCTAAAATAATGTTTTATATATACTTTTATGTTTTTTTAAAATAATGTTTTATATATACTTTTATATGTTTTATATATATATAAGTATATAGTTATGTGCATGCCCTAGCAATATAGCAGTTTAGTTCTAATTATTCGGCCTTTAAATTTAATACTTATTAAAGTATAAGTTTCTTTAAAAGGATCCAAAAGGGTCTATTTCTGTAAATAGGGAAGCTTACATTTATAATAAAAGTTTTCTCTTGAAAGAAAACTCATTTAGTTCTCATAGCAGACATTGCTAGATTAACTACTGAATCTTCTTTTATTCTTGTTCAATGCACAGAGGAGATTATGTAAATAATTTGTATCATTTCATATAATTAATTATATGATTATTTTCACTTCTATAAATTCAGTCATTGGTTATATAGCTTCCTTTCTTACAATTTTGGAAATGGAAGAATAACTATACTATATTAAAAGCAGTAGAATAATTAGTTTAGTATGAAAATTCTCCTCTTTGATACTATAGACCATTTTGAAATTTTCATGTAGATATTGTTTTTAATAAAAAGTAAAATATACTTTCTGTCTATTTTTTGCTTGTAAAAAAAAAATTTTTTTTATATTTCTCAGTCTCCATAAATAATAGTTGAGTGTAAAAACAGGACCATAGAGGTAGACTCCCTAGCATAAGGAATAGGAAGTATGCCATAGTATTCCTGACTTTTTGTTGAATAATAAGATAATGACTGCAGGTACTTTCTAAAATATTGTTATTCTTTACATTAAACTTATATACTTGAATCAAAAAATTTAAATGTACAACAGTATATAGTAAAAAATATTCCCTCCCCCGCCCTGCTTTATTCTATTCCCTTGAAGTCAAGTGTGTTACTTCACACACATACACACAAACTGGGACAAAAGGTTTACAGTTGTGAGTATGTGAAACACAGAGTTTATTCTTGTATCATTATTTATTAATTATTGTAGTATTTTCCAAATGAACAACTGTAAATCTATCTTTGCTCCACCCTGGGGCACATCTTTCCATGTTCTTCAATGTGCATCCATAAAACAGGAAAGTAGTTTGGAAATGTTCCTAGTCTTTATTATCAACTTATGTAGCTATCTAAGTAGCCCCTTGTAATTACTAAAAATATGACAAAATTAAAAGTTTTATTACTTTTCATGATTCTCCAGTTGATTGACTGGAAGGTGTATTTTCCATAACATTGCATGTCAGTAAGTCTGTCAGTAGACTGTTAAATATAGGTGTCACATGAGAAATTGCCCTAACTTGGTCACTTAGAAATTTATCATTCACATTTCCTCAGAAAGACAATCACATTGGAAAGCTGTTTCATGCTAGTATGGATAGTGGTTAATGCTGGTTGGTCACTTCTTATTTTGAGAGGTATGAAGTAAGATTGTTTAAGAACCTGATAATCTGGCCCTCCGAAGCAGAAAACCATCAACATATAACACCACTGAAGGAAACAAAACTCGACAAACACCTTACGTAAAGAGGATGATTGGTGTTGAAAATATCCCAAAGAAATTACATTTAAAGTACGTGCTATAAGACTGCTTCCCATAACAAAAGATATTCTTTGAGGAGAGAGCCTAGAATAGTTATTTTATCTAAGCACCAAAACAAGACACACAGAGGATAGCCAGAAGGCTGAGGGAGCAAATCCAAAGAAAAGGATGGGCAGAGGTGAGAAAAAAATTATAGGAGATATTTGTGATACTAAGCTCAATCATATGTCAATAATAAGGGAGAAAGACACTTAATTAAAATCAATATTGCCCATCTTTTAACTTCATAGCCTAATTTTACAATTCATAACTATAACGAGGGTCCTGAATCATTAAGGAGTAAACAGTAAAGTTCAGAATAAAGGATCAAAGGACCCTTAGAAGGAATTCCACACAGATAGTTACTATACTTTGTGTAAGAATCCAGTGTTTTCTGATTTTACCATTCTAATATGGGGTAACCTGAATCTTAAATATTCTTTTCTGGTGTAGAACCAAAAGATGCTTTTCTTTTTTCCTTTCTTTTTTCTTTTTTTCCTTCTGGCGCAGTGCAAAGATCGTGTCATCTGTGGATTAGGAAGAGAGGCCGAGTAACTCCTATGGTGAGCGAACAGCTTTTTGGAGTTGCTGTCGAGGAACTTTACAGCATGACAAGCCTGCTCGCGTCCAGGGTCTGGATATTTAGGACCTGAGCTTAGGCTTCCAGTTCCAAGCTCCTGTTCTGATTTTCCAGGGGCAGCTTTTAAAATAACAGCTTAGAGTCAGGCCTAGAAAGTTAGTGACCTCTGCCCCATCACCTTCTAAGCAATAAGGTGCTTGCTCCCTGCTTTCTGTCCCCTGTTCATTCGTGCCCTGGGAGGGAGAACGCGCCCCGCACCCGCAGCTCTGCGCGCTGTACTCTCCATCCCCCGTTGCTGGGGTTTGTAAGTAATAAACCTTCTGATTTAAAAAGTCTTCTTTATTATCTTTTTAGCCAATTTAAAAATTGGAGATTACCCAAGTACAGCATAAGGAATATAGTCAATAATTTGTAAGAACTATATATGGTGCAAGGTAGCT